CTACTTATGTATGTGTATAGGTTCCGTTTGAAAACCAGCTATTAGCTCTGTAAATTGTTTTTTTTTTTAAATTTTAAATTTAATTGACAATTCGTTTTCCCCTTTTACAGATGTGTATACACTTTTACGTATATAGACCTGTACACTATATACATGTAGGCATCGATAAAAATCGTCAAACAGCTTTATGCCACCGTAAACATAACTGTATACATACTGTGTGTCACTGCAGCGAAACGACGACACGAAAATAGCGATTCAGTTGCACTCACTTTTATATAATTTAACATAGGTATATGTACATTATACTTTAACGTATATATAGGCACTCATCGCCGTACCAGCGATAAATCTCATTAAAAATGTTTAGGTGATACGTGTCGTGTATATATAAATACGCGTGTTAAACGCATAACACACACGGATTTGCGTGACTCGCGCTTAGAACGTCGCTTATTACGAGAGGGGCTTAAGCGTTATATATATATATANTAACACACACGGATTTGCGTGACTCGCGCTTAGAACGTCGCTTATTACGAGAGGGGCTTAAGCGTTATATATATATATACTTGTTGATATCCACTCTATAATATATAAAGGTTATAATATATCATATATTTATAGTAAATGTAGATACAACACCTTGTTCACTTATTAATAATAAATACCTAATATATATATGAGGTACCTACACGAATAATAGCTATATATATTAGTGTTTATGCAAGTAGTTATATATTATATGTATTTATACTTTTATATACTAGCTATATATAACAACAACTTTGTTGTTTTACTTCATCAGAAATAGAACTTATACTTATATAATATACAGAACACTATCTGTTGCAATATATTATGTATATATTTTTTATACTAGTATAAATATATACATAATATATATATTTTATTATATATATATTATGAGTATAAGTTCTATTTCTGATGAAGTAAAACAACAAAGTTGTTGTTATATATAGCTAGTATATAAAAGTATAAATACATATAATATATAACTACTTGCATAAACACTAATTTATATAGCTATTATTCGTGTAGGTACCTTATATACAGTTATACGATCTTCACAACTATTTAAATTGAAAACCATGGTGGCATTATATATACTTTAAATTTAAGGGTGTAAATATAAAGAACTTATAAAAATCTTAAAAACTCAGTAAATTCAATAAAAATCCCAAAACCCTAAAAAAAATGTACTACCATGATCAACATTTAAAAAGTAAACCTTTAAACATTTCAAAATGCGATATTATTAAGTATGTTGTTTAATATATCTGCAGGATCTGTATACAACGTGTACTTATCTAGATAATTTCTAAGACAAACAAAAAAAAACCCTAAAATATGTTGTGTAAAAAATTTAAATCGACAAAAATATTATTAAAAATATCAATAAAGTATATAAATTCCTAGAAAAAATGTAATCTGCAGTCAAATTGTCCAGATAATTATACACCCTGCTTCGCTTATGAAAATGGAAATAATGAAAATGTGTATACGGTAATTTCGTTTTCGCCCATTTGTTCGTGTTTAAATATGCATAATATTATATTATCATGTAACAGCTATTACCTATATATATATATATATATATATATATATATATATGTATACTGCAGTAGGTATATAAAAGTGTTGGGTATATACTTGTAAGGGGGTTAAGGGGTGGGGGCATTCGCGAAGCGTCAACGGACCGAAAGCGATGCATTGGCACACACTGCACACTCACACGCATACACACGGATAATATAAAGCAAAACTGGTATTATAGCAGTACCCATAGGTGAGGCGAAATTGAATAAAAAAAGTCGTCGATTGTCTCTATGTACGAAATATGTGTGTAATGTGCTATTAGTATATTGCCGAATACACACGCACACGCGGAGACGACGACGACGGAATCGGATTGACGTATGAAAGCGCCGGGCGGTCCCGAGATAACAATTGCCTTCATGTCATCGCCGCCCAGGAGTCGCGCGGGGGACCGTCCGCGCGATTTGTGTGCATATATGTTATTACTGCGCCAATGACTTCCGGTAGCCCCGACATCCGGCCCCAACGGATTTTCGTTGTTCTACTTTAGTACACACACACACACACACACACACACACACAGACACCCATAGGTACATATTATACACAACGCATCGGCGGCGGCGGCGTTGGTCCACAAGAATAAACGACCGATTATAATTTATATTATTACGTTTAGTTCCTACACACACATATATATATATATGTATATGGTACACACTGTATAGTAGATCATTTATATATATTATCCAAGTAATAGTGACGGTGGCCCACAATTATCGACCGGACACGTCGTCGTCGTCGTGGGAAAGGAAAATACGCGAATTTGTTCCCTTTAATGTACCACTATGTATAGTATTATTATGTATATATAAAAAAAAAATGTATATCAATATAAATATACATACTATGTATCGTTGCTATATTATTATTATTGTTGTGGTGGTATATACTTATAAATAGCCTATATAGTTACACATATAATATGAGCTATTTTTCAGAACAGCCCACTTATAGTTGACGGATATATATATATTATACATATTATATGTATATTATACAAATAGTACTATAATGCGTATAGGTACCTTGCATATAGATCGGACGGTTTGATTCAGTCGTCTGCGACAATAGATTTTTTTACATGTGTCGGACATATTTAGTTATATTTCTATTACATTCATTTAAAAATTATAAATAAGAGCTAGTATACAATACATTTTTTAAGCATAAGGAGATGATATATATATATGTAGTGTATATAATAGTGCGCATCACAACTACAATTTATGACTATTTGCAGTGAAATTGTAAGTGCTATATATAGGAGATATAGTATGGACATAATATCATATAATCATTGCATCATCGTGTATCATCATATGATATATAGTGTATAGGGTCGTATGGAATTTTACAGTAAATATCCAGGTATAAAATATATTTATATCATTAATAGTAAAATATCCGAGTAACATTTTTATATTACCTTTAAAATAGGTATTAATTAATCGGCCCCCAACATTTTTTAAAAGAATAAAACAATTTCAAGGAGTTAATATTATTTAAATAATATATTATGTATAGTGTCCAGTATCTACATTCAAAAATTGTCACCCCCCTATACCCTTTCAAAATTGATATGCGGTCACGGATTTGTGTGCGTAAAACAATAAAGCGTTATATGTACCTACCTATGATTTTTATTTATTATGATGTAAAACGGTGTTATAATGCGTTAGTTGTTACAGTACATTATACAATTATGCGTGTGTATACTATAAACAGTATATCTATATAAAATCACAATAGTTCAATTTTATGTTTTGATAAACGACTTATTGTTTTTGTGGTTAAAAAGTATTCTAATCGAAATGTTACATAATGTAGTTACAAAAGTTTTCAAGACCATAATAAAATATCTGTAATGCATGGATATATTTTATATTACGGCGTATACTTATCCATATATAGTATATATAATATACACTTATTAAGTATCATATTCAATATGTCAGAAATATGTGTCCGTTTGATAAAGTTATAGTACCTATATGTACAGTATGTATATATATATATGTAGCAGGTATCTATATATAGAAAAACTTTAGATGCATATTATTAATAATATTGGTTTGGTAACCACTTATACCACGTCTTGATATAGAATTACAAATGTACCTATATAATTTTGTTCGAATTCGTTTTAAAGCCTCACGTATATAATACAGTTATTGTATTTTTTTCTATTTCAAATGCGACTATTACATACTATAATATACTTAAACCAATCGTAGACATTGTACAGTAAAACCACTTGTTAGATATTTCATTTCATTTTCAATAACAGTACCTATGTGGCTATGTGTAAATGCGTATATTATTTATGTAATTACCTATATATATGTTAAAATAATGTTTTTACTCATGCATGTATACCAATCCGCAGAATAAATACCTATAGTATATTATTAACCAAATGTATTATATTAAGTTGAAATATTATGTAATGTATTGGAAAAAGAGAAAGAGGAAACTTTTGAAAACCATCATGTGTAGAAAACCACTCCGACTTAAAGAACTTTAGTATAGCCTATTTGTATGAATTGGTAATAATATATTATAATACAAAAAAACTCGCATACAAAATCGATGATGTCCGTTGCCAGCAATAATAAAATAAGAATGTTCAAATTAAAACTTGAACAAGTCCACAAAAAAACAGTTTTTCCGCAGTGTAGTGTTCACCTAGAACACAATACTCGTGAAAATTATAATATAATAAAAATGATTGTATATACACTACGGGATCTTATATAGGTGTATATTGCATGGGCGCCCATACTATAATATAGGTACACCCATATACCTATATATATAAAATTAATTTATCAGATTGCAAAATCCAAAACACAAATAATAATATATAATACAATATTAATTAAGAGCGAAAAAAGGAAATCTCACTCGCGGCTTGTTGGCGGCACGGCGAAGACACCCCCTTAAACGGAACGGGCGAGAGTGGTCGGAGTCGGCGTGCGAAGGGATAAGGGCGGCCGCCGCCGCCGCGGATGACCGCGCGCGTCGGCGATGAGCGACGATGAGCGCCGTTGATGAGCGGCGGCGGTGGCGGCTACGACGTCGACGAAGACCGCCGCCGCGGTGGTGGGGAATCGCCGATTGCAGCTGGCAGGGTGCCGGCCCCGCCCACAATCTCCGGAACCGGCTCCGCCCATCAGTCACTCACGCACACACGCGCACACACGCCGCATCGATGTGTGTGCTCGACGGCGGCGAACGTCCCGGCGAGCCCAAGGAAGCGCGTGCGTGCGCATCGTAGTGCACCCGCCGCCGCCACCGCCGCCGACCCATCCCACCCCACCGCACCACCGTCAGCGCGAACCCCGGGGACAGCTTCGGCGTCGTCGATCTCGTGGCCCGGCCGCCGCGGCAGTCAACAGTCCGATCGCGTCGATCCGGTTCGCGGTCTGGTGAACGCAACGCTCATCATCTGACGCTATCATCATTCGTCGTCGGTCGTCGTCGTATAGTTGTCACGGACGGTTGATCTGTTTTACATAAAATCTTTGCTTATTATCGTCGAGTTTAACATATTATACGATGACGGTATGTTTTTTAACGACCCATCATAATTTTATTTACTCATAGAGATATTGTTATTATTATTATTTTTTTTTTTTGTCATACCTCGTCGATTTATTTAATATTTATCGATATATGTATATATCTATATAAACATTATAAGTCGAACACCGCGCTTAATATACGTCCTAGTACAATAATCATTTATTTTGTATACGATTTTCCCGATTGTGCAACCCACTCGCTCTGTATATTCGCGACAATATACACACCTCCCGGGTGGGTTTTTTGTCTTCGGATCGGACGGAGTCGTTTTTTTCTTTACGGAGTGACATCAAAAGTTCATCGCCAGCATTCGTGTATGACTCGACGTCCCCCCGCCCTGTCTAGGTCGACATGAGCAGAGGTGAGTCTTTATTATAATTATATAATCTAAACATCAGTATACAACTCTACATTGTAACACATTTTATATATTATATACACATATGCAACTTCTCAAAGTATTTTTTCTTATTATTATTATAATCGATCTGTGGCATCTATATGGTCATTGGAATTAACGATAAATTACATATTTTTTCTTTTCAAAGTGAGGGATATAATATATAAGTATTACAAAGTATTAAATAGGTACACTAACAATTAATATTACTCAATCGATGTATCTATTATTAGATGGGTACATAGATTTTTAACGTAACTATAGTATTTTTATTATATATATGGCTTGAAAAATTGCTGTAAGAACCGAATATACCTATCTAATAATTATTAACTACTATAATATGTTAATCAGAAGTAAACACCAAAATATAAATACAATTATTTGTAATTATTTTCAACTAAACATTATTATAATATAGGTATCAATTTGTTATAAGTTATAACATCCCAATTACTCATCGAGAATTCTGTTCTTTTGATTTCATCATAGATTATTTTAATAGTTTTAAAATATACCTAATTACTGTTATTATTCAATTAGTTATGTTAATACTATATGCTATATAAGTATATTATGCAGACGTAATAGAAAACATAAATGTTAAATTCAAAATTTAAATGTTAAAATAAAACATATTAGATGTTTATATATTATATAACTGGGACATATCTATATGGTATCAGTTATCACTTATCACTAATATTGTACATATTGTTCAACCTAATTAAGTGAGTATTCAAAGCTCGTATATTATCTATATGTGACACTCCATGTCGACTGTAGATAAAATCTAATTTTATATTTTAGGTTTTTCATATAAATTATCAATGTATACGGAACATTAATTGGCGGTCATTTCGTTCGAAGAATTGTGTGGTTCATCGTTCATGTCTAAATAGACAATCAGGTTTCCTAAAATAACAAAAATTATATTTGTACAGCCCGTATAATATATAGACTGTCATCAATTGGGGGCTAGTATATTATTGCATTGAACGGAATAACCGGATAACCATTAACCATATTCCTGCACTATCGATAATACAAATACTAAAATTATATTATAATATTGATGATTTGACCAAGCTAATTTGCTATAGGTACTTAAAGTAACATTATACTCTGAAATCATTTGAACGTACAATTCTAGTGAATATTATTTAGTTTTCATATCTATGTGCAAGTTGCCTACAACTGACTATGAAATATATTAAATTTCTATAATATATAATATATAATCATATCTAAGTATTTTTTTAATAATGTTAATTTACAATGAGTATTATTGGGTTCAGAAAAGTATTTGTAAATAGTTTTAAGAAAACAAATTAAAACATGGACCATGTATATTTGTGTAAAAGTATTTATGTAAGATATCCACGAGAAAAACTATAATTAATTTCAATGATGAGGATGTCGTACCTATGTGTTATTGTCTTCTTTAGTAGTAAGCGTAAGGTAGGATATGCACAACAGACGACCAAATTGTATACATTCATAATAATCTATTTTACTATTCGTTTTTTTTTAATACTAGACGATAAGTTGATCCCGATATCTATTATAGATATAGATATTATTTAAAGTTAAGAACAATGATTATAGGGCCTTCCGCAGGGTTTTTTCATGTTTTAATATTTAAGTTCATATGATTATATTGGAATTGTAATTTTTTGTAAATCGTATTTAAAAAAAGTGTAAATTATTCATATAATACCTTATAATACATTACATTATAAAGTGTTAAACATACCAAACTATCCAATGTATTTATATTGTTGACACTCGTCGTGTGAAAAATCTTTTCTAAATATATATGGTTGGATCAAATTTTACGTTGAACCACGTATAAATAACGCGTGTATATGTGATACATATTGTATTAAAAAAAATATGTATAATGCTTGACAATTTTTTTCATTGCTTACTTATATTTTTTTGGGGTGTATAATATCTATACACCGTGAAACCTCGATACGTATGTCTCAATAATATAATAGTCCCCTCACGCATGCGATTTATATGTACGATTGCGACGGTTCTTATAGACTGAACAGGTTTACATGAGACAATTTCACGTACGTACACGCTACCACAAAATATAGTCCCCTCATGCGTAACGGACGCAGACGTAAAAATCCGTCAAAATATTGAAAACACCAATTCACGGGAGATGATAGCAAAATATAAAAATTAACACTTTAAAAATAATTACCGGGCCAGTATAATAGCCACGGGGGAGCAAAGTTCAATCGAGTGCTTTAAAAAGTCAAAAGTTCATTATAATATCTGCAGAGCGGCGTATCATATGCAGATGTTATAAATTATAATAAGTAATAACACATTTTTGGTTCGACGACCAATTTCCTTGTCTACTTATTATTGATTTTGTAATAAGCTATTGCTGTCCATGTCATTTATGTACTTCCGCTTTTTCCGCACATGGTTAAATGATTTCTTCCTCGTTGATAACACGTTAAGCGTTTTTAATTAAATGCCATCCCATTCGTTAATTATTATGATTATCAAATCAAAATATTAACAATGGCTGTTGTTTACACACATAATAATATATAATTTGTGTACGAAAATGATTATACATTATTATAATATATTGTTTATTGTGTTACAAATAATATAATACAGCTGTTGTCGATTTCGCCGATTTATTAACGCTAATTAATGCCTATAATATAATATATTATATTTTTGTATGCAATATTATGTACCATATTATATTATATGGATAGGTACGTCCCATTATGTGTATTTTTTATACATATTAATAAATGATAAAAATACACAGTATGCGAGTCGTGTGCGTGTGTTACCGAAATATTTAGATCGTTGATAACAAGTGCGTATAGATTTTGTGTTGCAAAATTGCACGTGTTTATATCGCTATTTGACAAAAATAATAGGTAGGTATTGCAAGTTTTGCGTGTTGAGGTATATAATAGTAACACGCTCTTGATATAATAGGCGCAGTGGGCTGACGAATTGGCACATTGAGTAAATCAATAATCATTATAATATTATTATACACTATTTTTACTATCATTAATAATTATTACATGAATACTTTACCGGTGATCAAAGGAATAATAATAGGTAAATTTCCTCATATCGGTTCGATTACTTAGAAATATCCACGATAACGTTTGTACGATCGATTACTACATGTATATATTTTTTCCAAAGTATTTCCATTCATCGTGTTACTTGGTTCCCATTGAACACTCGTTTTGCGTACAGCTATTATCCACAAACGTATGTATAATATAATAGAATAACAATATAATATTACTGCATGACCGTATATTAAACGAGCGAAAATGCCATTAACGAGCCTGACTTTTTATTATTATACGGTAACCTAGTTGTCGTTACGATAATAATCACCGTAATTATATAGTTATCGGGACAATGCAATATTTATGTGTACTTTTTGTATGCCTATATTATATATGCTTGAATACGATTTATGTAGCGTGTTCAGCATCTTTAAGTTCGCGGTAATGTTGTGATTCTGTTGATTCCGATAAATATAAACAATTTTGATAACTCATATCGTAATTTAGTCATCGAATGCGTCACACAATCACAATTAAGTCGAACAAATAACAAAAGCTGTTTTACACACCGTGATTTGTAAGGGTTCGAAGTTATTATTTCTAAACCTCCATACATTTTATCCAATATTACTGTATGAATATATAGTATTGATACACTAAAAAATATAATCGTTTTTATTGTATGCTTAATATAATACGTATATAATAGTTAACAATATAATTATTGTAGTATATAATATACCAACGTAATCTTGTTTGTGTAAAATAGATTTTTAAGCACCTATATTCTACCCCTAATAGAATGTAGGATACAAAATATGTTATATTGTAGTTGTAGGTGCAACTTATACATTTTATTTGTTTTTTTGTAATTATTATAAGTGATTTATAATATGTGTATAGAGTATATTTGAATAGTTCGAGAAAAGACGGATGATATTAATTATTGCTATAATTTTTCGAGCATTTTATTTTATTTAGTGTTGACATTTTGTAAGTACCTATACGTAATCTTGTATTTTATCTACGTATAAATTTTTGACAAAAAAACACTTAACTTATTATTATTAGTTTTTAATGCAGTATTTATTTTTTGTCTTGACTGGACCTCGAAGCATTGAGTGCACCGGTAGTGATAAGAAAAAAATCCTACGCGATTAGGCATGGGACAGACGGTGTTTGCCTCTTTTAATCTCGACTGGTGTCCAAACATCATGTCTCCTAGGGGATTTGGCTGTAAAAACAAAATAAAAATAAAAACAAAATATAATAAATATCCCTTACTTCGACCTTGTGGTACAATCTTCGAAACCGCAAAAGAGTGTTATTAAACAATGTCGTCAACGAGTTGTTGATCCCAGGGCAATAAATCGGCGCGGGGACGATTTGTACAAATATTTGTACTGTCGACCTTGAATGTGCGATACAGAGACCCCGAGATAGAGATTGCCTGTCATATTTTATGATGTCTTGTATGACGTCAAGACCCGACTACGAGCTGCATGTGATCAACTGTATTGCATTCAAAGTCAAAACGATTATACGTATATTAATATAATACTTTAATTGATATGCCTATAATTTTATGATCCAGATGTCTGAACTACAGCAGCAATGTTTTGTATATAATTTTTCTCAAATATATAGGTATACATTTTGTTATTAAAAAGTTTCCCTTTCATGACCTTTAGCAATTATCGTTATATTTTGCTCGTTACAATATAAAATAATATTGCATTATAATATATCGTGTACATTACATTATGTTCACCTCCGCGTTTTTATACACTCTACCAGCTATAATGCGTCCCTCGATATTTGTCACGTGCATACTATGAAATTCAACGGCTTTCATATGTATACTTCACAAACATTGTTGAACGCGTCGGATAGTGTGTGTATATACTATATAGAAACGTGTTTGGTAGTAATTATTGTAAATTTTTTTTCGTAAAAACTCCCTCAAATGCTCTTTATTTAAAATGGGTATATGAATTAAGTTGTAATTATTCTATACATATATTATATAAATAATATAACATTATGTGGCTTGTATGTCAGGTTTATGGATGTAATATATTTTTTAATCATTCGAAAATTACACGTTTCATAGTTCCTTTGTAAAAACACGCATATTTCTCGAGAATATACTACTTTAATCGAATCCATTAAAATATCGGTTAACGCTGAGTTCGCCGACGGATAATGTAAATTTCGTAAATTCACGGAATTCTCCAGAAATACAATACGCGCAAGTGCATTTAATATAATATATTAATAGGTGCACTATTTGATCGATAAATCTATTTATATGACCACGATGTTTACTGTTTTGATATTTGAGCTGTCGCGGTATCAGCGTTATTTAATATTATGTAAAACAATAATACAAGGGTAAATAATTTTATATTATAATATGTATAGGTATAGGTATATTATAATAATTTGACTGACGGCTGTTAATGCTGGAACTTTTTTAATTTTCTTTGATAAATAATACATTTTGATGAAAAATTTTCTAAAAAAATCAAAAATACACATCGAAAAAAACGGGTAGGTATTACAAGTTTACTTTTATGTTTCATTTAAATAATGTTATCGGCTGCTTCCTCGTGCTACATAATATTATATAATTAATTTTTTTTTTAGTAAAAATCAAATAATTTAAAATTTAAAACTAAACCCATACATTATTATGCCCAATTTATAAGTCATTGATGCTTATACATCATGTATGAGCCCTGAACCTAATAAAAAAATGTACCATTTACATTACCCGTATGATTTTATGGGCACGCACCTAGCATTCACTTTGTGCGTATGTTCATTTTGATCGAAGGAGATTTTAACAAAATTTTTCTCGTTTTCTCAGGCAGTAGCGACGATGGAGGTGGCGGTGGTGGCGACACGGACGCCGGCCGGAGCGACGATGAGCGTTCGTTGTCCAGTGACAGTAGTAGCGTCGGTGGCGGCGGCGGCATCGTCGTCGTCGGTGACGGTTGTCGGAGCCGGAGCAGCAGCGCAAACAGCAACAACAACAACGGGAAAAAAGACACGATCGCCGCTGTCGATGAGGTCGGTGGCGTCATCGGTGCTGGTTTGAACAGTAGTTTCAACTTTTTCGAGCTGCCATCCAACGCGGCTTCCATGCCTTTCAACTTGGAGCTGCGGAACGCGGGCGCTAGCGGCGTGTGGACCAAGACCCAGCTGCCCAAAGGCGTCAAGTACGGACCGTTCCTGGGCAAATGGGGCCCGAAGCCGGTGGACTCGCGGTTCGCCTGGGAGGTGAGTGACGTGCAAACTTCATAAAGAACAATAAATAAATATATATAGGAAAAAAAATCGTTTTACTCGCATCAGCCCGTCATCGGTACTATTATATACGTAATTTTGGTCCCCTTTTTTTCGTCTTCTTTTTTTCTTATCCTCCTCTTGCGCTCGCGCCAGCCTAAACCTATATGGGTCTGTATATAGGTAAATAACAGTAAACACTGTCGAGCAGGACGAGAGGGAATGTGTGTACATATATGTATAACTGTAACAGAGCGATAAATATTGTGAAAAAAAAAATGTGCTACATCTCGGAAACGCACGCCGCCAACGGAAACTATATCGCCGCGGCTCGGGCACTCACAAAAGGTGCGAAGCTACAAAAAAGAAACGTCACACTCTGACAGTTGTCGAAGGGACGAATCGACGGATATAATATAATGTCGTCGAGGTGTCGGATGACCCCGCAGGGGATCTCCGCGAGATTAGCTTCACATCACACTCACACACACACACACACACACACACACACACACACACACACATATAAATCTACACACAACTGATACAATATATATATACTCGATAATAATATGTGTGTACGCGTATATAATAAGATACGTGCGAACACCTCGCCGACATATATATGTATAAAATATAAGCCGCATATAGGCCGCCCCCGTTTGTAGTTCACCCCGAGTCGGTGATCACTCTCGCCCGAGTAAAAGAGAGAGTTTAAGTATAAAACCTCTGATTGTTGTCGGTTCGATCCCTTTTCAATAACATACGCGGCTACTGGCCAATTTTTACCACTGGCTGCAGCGGTCTGTTTGCCGCTCAGGTTTAACCAATATAATATCCGTTCAAAACAATGGATAAAATACTATTCCAGGAATGTTTCGACGTGTCCGCCAAATATTATTATTTGTTATGGTATTTCAAAACAACAACTTTTACCCGTCTATGATTAGTATTGTTTTTCATCTAGTTATCTATGTTTACAAAAGCACTAATACAGTTTGTTCAAAATCATACTTAACAATTATATTATTACGTTTCAAAAATCGAAATATGTTGTAGGCAGGGTGCAGACTCAGTATACGAGACGCACCCCGTACAGATTATTATGTGTACAATAAACGACGCATACACGATATTATATAATATAATATATTGTCAGATTTTCGACGGGCAAACTCGCTTCGCTTTTGGTTCATTAAAATTTGTCCGCCCGGTCAACTGGAAAATTCGCCGCCACCTATATTCGTCGGTGGCTTGTATGAGTGCAGCGCTTATATATATATTTATTATTATCACCACTGAGCCGCACGGATAATGCGCATACGGCTGTATACATTATAATATGCCGCTGGCAGTAGGTATCTATCCATATGCACAATATATACATATTATACGGCCACGCACACACACAATCCGACCGCCTAATGTCCGCGAACCCATTGTCCCCACGGCCGAGGTGTGAACTGATCGAATTTTATGGTCGGTATCATCTGCCCCCGGCGGGCGGTCCGGGCTTACAGTGCAGTCCGCGACGAGGACGACTACTGCGACTATATTATATCATATATACATATACTATGCAAGACGTTTTATACGCGAGCACACATACGCTTATTATATTCTGCTCGGGCGTCCACAATAATAATATAATATTTTATATTATGGTGAAATCCCCGCGATAATCTATGTTATTATGCTGCAGTGTTCGCGCGGATGCAGGAATGCCGGGAGATAATTTCTTGACGCGATTTTCGGCGTACCTCGATGGCCATATGCGGGTTGTTCCGAGGTATGCTCGCATCGCTGCAGTATACATAACACGGTGTTATTATACACACACACACACACACACACACACACACACTACACTAAACGTAGGTATTCTCATACAATCGCACCTGTTTATACACGCTCATGCATATATATATATATATGTATAAACGACAACGGCGTGTATAAAGACGACGAGACGCTAAACCGCCGCACGCCGCCGCTCCGGAGAGTGCTTACCCGAGTATTCCTTCCCACCACACCGCTGCTCGACCCCCGCAGCCGAGATACGACGGCGCTCGTGGATAACGACAACTCTACAGTAATAATAATAATATAACGTGTGTCGTATACGTCCTGGTTACGGGTTCGTTATGATCATACATTTCACCGTCCCCTTGAATACCCGACGTGTATACCGGTTGACGACGCCGCGCCGCTAAATAGAACGCCGAAAACGCGTTGTTATCGCGTCACGCGCACGAACGCCGTTCTTACGCACGCTCGCTTGGTTGCTTACTCGACTTGACAGGTATAGATGGTTAGTTAACCGTAGACAGGTCGCTTATAGGTGTTTATTATGCGTTGTATTATATAATGTACGAATTAGGTAGACAACCGCGCTCGTTTATCGCTAAATCGAGTGTCGTGCGGACAACCGAACACTGTTCGACAAAATAATGTGACAATGCTCTTTTTGTATGTTATTACTTATTATATTGCTATAATATAAAGTCTTATGTACAGTCTTTCATCCCTTATTGTTCCTAACCTATTTATTACATCACAACATCATATTTTAAGTACGCATCTAGCTGCAAGTAGGCACTTATGCTATTATATAACGCACATTTTTGTGCTTATATTTTAGAATTTAGATTGTGTATAAAACTATACAAACAGGGAGGTCATGTAACAGTGTAAACGTTAACACCCTTCGATATTTAAGCGCTTTGTATACTATAAATCATTATTCATTTCGAAATCGTCGTTCAATGCTTATAAGTTTATTATTTGTTACATTTTCACTGCTGTCAATAGTCTCGATGGGCATAGTCAGTGATTTTTTTCTTCTACTTCGTGTTAATATTATTTCACATCGTTCGTTACCAAGTGGTACACTCGATTGCGCGCTTAAACTGCCGAGCACGTCATAATACTATAGGTATGTTATTTTTGTTGCACTCTCGACGTGGTGCATCGTTCCGAATAAACGTATTTTTAGATCAAAGTTCATAAATACTACAGAGTATTGTATGTCTTCCAATCACACGGCAGCGGGTAAGGAAACCCTTTTTCGATTAATTTTCCAGACAAAGACGTGAGCTTATATGACGGTGTCGGTTCTTTGAACGCAATTCAAAATCTGTTTGTTTTTCGATGCTTAGGTAGAATATTATATGTACAACGATGATGACGACGTCGTAGCAACAGCAGCAGTAGAACGTATGGTCGGCGGGTGGGTGGGTAGGTATGTGTGTGCGCGTTACGCACGCAGCAATAATGGTTTTTCATCAATCAAAGTATATAGTATAATATTATACTCGGCGGCGGATATTGCCTCAGCGTCATCTGTTATCAGCATTCACACATCTGTAGAAACCATTCGGAGCGTGATGCTATCCGCGGGCCCGGAATGATTTCGTGAAAAATCGGTGTGTATACATATATATATTAGGTTATATGTGTGTATGTACACGCGTTATTTATTAAAATCGCGAGGGTTTTTACCATTTGTGGAGGCGACGTGGCACCATTCATCTCAATCATTTCCGCGGAGGAATTCGCGCGCGCGGAGGCTGTTGCGCCGTTGCTGATTTGTCAGTTAAACGTAACGGAAAACACTCGCGGCGGCGGCAGCGTCGATTTGGCTCAGGTTTTTTCTCCTCTTCCGCTGAATGCTTCCGTTCACTCCCCACCATCACCCTGCCCTGCCAGGCCGAGTCACTGGAAGAAAATATTGTTTTAATAATACCCAATCTGTGCGTGCAAAAATCCCGACCATAGTCCCTGCAGTATATACTATACATAGGTAGCTCTGTGAGTCATGTACTTATTGTACATACGCCTTTTTTCAGACTCCTCGATCGATACCTACCCGCTGCTGAGTAAATCAGATATTAATATATACCTACGATTCCGAAATATCGAAAACTGGAGTGATTTTAGGATGTGATTTGCATCTATTTAATATTTCGAAATGGGCGAACAATTCGGTTCGAACAAAAAATATTTGGCGTTTGATGTTTTTGCTGATGATTTTTCGTTTTAGCCTTTTGGCGTTTCTTGTGTGTATATTTTGCCTGTTTTACTTTCTCTTTTGCTATTATTTTTATTATAATATATACTTTAACCGTTAAACGATTTATATATAAGGGATATGTGGAAAATTCGAGCGAAACGTTGGCTGCAGGCTGTTTGAAACTGACCGCAAGTGCCGCAAGTATATAAAATAATATCTCGTTTTCCCCGTGCAAGTCGAGGTCGGTATATATAACCACGCCTTCGTAACCGCACGCGAAACGAAAGATCCGGGGCCAGCGTTTGGCTAATTGGACAAGACCCGCCAACCAAGCTCCGCCTTTTCAAACTTCACCGGAGCGGAAAAACGATTCGTTTTCCGTCTCGAGTGGTCTTAGAGAAGAGAGCAGAAGTTGGGTTTTTTTTTCATTTTTTTTTTTTTGTTTGTTTGTTTGCTCGTGACCTGACGACCGGAAAAATAGTTCATGCTGACGAGCGGAGAGAGAGCAAGAAATTCGGGGTTGGTTGATAATTCGAGTGTCTCATACCGTGTGCAGTGGACCCCCCAATCAGAGTCCTTATTATGTATTTTTTTTTTTTTGCATAATAAATTGCGAACGTATAAAATACATAATATTATATACCTTCTAAGAAAACAGGTAAAAACCGTCGTCGTCGTATTCAAATTATTGTATTTATAATTTTTTTCCCGACCTTATTCGCGAACTGCAGATGTATTGAAATTGTATGCAAAACGTCAAGTGTTCACTAAACCGTGACTTTGTGCCAAATCAAAAAAATGAAAAAGACGTTGAACTGTCAAGATTTTTTTGAGGGGTGTTTTTTTTCTTATTTTTTGATCACAAATAGCCGTTTCGCACACGGACCGTTATCTGTACATAACATTACGATATAACTTATAAGATTATACGTTCCCCTCGTGGACGTATGAAACTGAAAAAAAATAACACAGTACGTGTTTA